GTGAATTGATGCCGAAGTTTACTGCATAATCCATGATCAGGTGTTATTAAAACCGAATTACGCTTATCCGCTATCTTCTAATTATTCTAGAAATTATAAACAAGCACTTTATTATTATTTTACACCCATGCTTGTATGGCCCTTAACGTTCGACAATGCTTGGATGGAAATTGACCTCGCAGTGCTTCCTGTATTCCTCCATCCATGCTAAAGGAATTCTTAACCAGAATTCGAACAATATCCTACACTTTTTTTGTGGATGATATGTAGCCAGAATGCTTTAGCACTTTCCTCCAGTGGATAATTTGCGGTAATATTTGATTTCTTTATCAGTTTTTTTTTTTAGAAATAGAGATATTGAAACAATTTAATGTAGTTTTAACGTTTGGTTCGTGCGATTATTAACTTGATAACCTTAAATGTAATAAATTGTAAACCATTTATAAGACTTATTAAAATATAATTTAAGACCATTACATTTCATTTATATGCATTCAGTTTTCATTGTACGACTTATTCGTTATATGTATTTGGCAGGTAAGAATAAATGAAATCTTCGTGAGCTTATCACGAGGTATAACCGCGAATTCAATTAAATATAATCGGTTCTGGAAATACGAAATTTATTCACTAAAAAGTTTAAGATTGATGATTATGAAACATGGTAGTAACTTATATTAAAAATAATTTCTCAACATTTTTGTTGGAATATCTAATAAGAATAGAATATTTTTGACGATGTTATCTGGAATGATTAAATAAATAAGAAAAACTTTAATATCGATCACTATATTTATTAGATACCCATTACAATACTTTTTGTTCATTTTTAACATTTATTGAAAAAAATGGGATTTTATGAAAATCTTTAATTAAATTGCGAATTGTTATTTGAATCACCTTGATAAATAAAGTTGAAAACCATTCTTTATTTTTATTTTAGTTATTGAGAGATGTTTCAGTATCTTAAAAAAAAAAAAATTTTTATTTCGGGATATCTGATCATACACTAAATATGTTAATGAAACAGCGCGCTATCTTCAATATAATATTTGAATGAAATAAAATGAATTATCTAGTAATATAAGCATATTAAAAAAAAAATCATTTCATTAAAAAAGCAAGGTATCTGGTCATTACGAGATATATTGCAAAAGTAATTCAAGTTCTTATCTAAAAAACAAAATTGAAAAATAAAATCCAACTTGAAATTAACGCACAAATAATACCACCGACAAAAAGGTAATTCATTACACCGCGTTTTTTTTCAAGTCTAACAGGTTTTTCTTCGTAATAACTATTCCTTTTACTTTCCTTCATATCCATTACACCATCGCACCAATTTTTTGATACAAAATATAAGCCGATAGTTACTATTACGGCAATTATACTACTGATCAAATAAAATATCATTACCATATCGTACTTTCCTTTGTCCAAATCTTGTAATAATCCTACAAGTATATCATAAATTGTGGATCCAATATTTGAACTTGATTTAACTATCCCTATTGCGGTACCAACATAATCTAAAGGTAACAATATCGGTATTGATGATAACGATGCTACTGGTCCTAGTGAAAGTGAAAGTGAAAAAAAAACCATTCCAATTATCGGAGTAAATGCTAATGTGAATCCAAGGAGACACATTGATATTACGAGAAATACTGCGGATACGACCACTAATGTAAGGAGAGAGTAAGGAATAGCATTAACATACTTATCAAGTTCAAGAAATGAAATGAATCTTTAATCCTTACAGGTCAAGGAACGATTTCCGAAACGATCTAAAAAGTATCCGAGAAAAGGTGAAATAAAGATTGGGAACAATTGAGAAATACTAGAATTGTAAGCCGCGATTTCATCCGTATGGTTCCATCGAATTTTTACCAATTCCCTATAATATACATGTAATTAATTTTAACCACAAATCAAGTTATAAGGTGAATGAGTTGGATATTTACGTATTGATGGTTAAAAATGAAGTCCACACGCTACCCAGTACAAATTCAAGTGAAACAATGATCCAATAAATATCAGGAAAAATCAATAATTTTTTAGGATTAAAACGTTTCTTTTGTTTTAACTTCAATAATTCTTGGGTTTTTATCCTCTCGTTAAGAATTTTCATCAAAAGAACGTACGCGAGGTTGGTTAACATCGAAAAGATACAGAGAAATGCTGCAAACTTAAGGAAAGAACGAATTAATTCAGTGAAACAAGACTACAATGAATGTTACAATAATCGTACCCAAAATGCCCATTTATATGATCCTGTAAGCTTCGTGATTGGGATAACGGTTATATTAGCCAAGAAGCCAAACTATATTTATAAAAAAAAAAAAATTTTAAATAAAAAGTAAGAAAATACAAATTAGAATCAATGCGTTTTTTTGCTTCATACCAATCTTGACGCAGCGATCTGAATTCCCACAGCGATAGCCAGTCCTTTTCCCATAAACCAATGACTTAGTATAGTCACTTGAACGATAACAATAGTTCCACTTCCAATTCCATATAATATTCTACCAATGACCATTACAGCAAATGATCTTAAATCAGTTGATAATGCAACTAATATATTTCCCATAGCTATAAGAGAAGTTGCCAATACAGAACCAACTAAAGTGCCAAATGTATCAAGGAATATTCCACCGAGAATTGGTAGAATTGTATTAACCAATGATACTGATGACTGAATGACTCCATATTTAGAATTTGAAATGTCTAATTCCTTTTTAAGGAAAAAAATTAATTAACTCATCATTATTTAACATTTATTATGAAATGTCTTACCTTTTTGATAATCGATTTTAAAGCGTCAAGAGTATGAGCCGAGTAATGACTTCCCACTAAAAAAAATGCACATGATTAAAAAATGATAAATCACATGAATTTCCTAATAGATAGACTTACGAGCTAAAGATAAAACGCATAGCAAAGCAATTATTTTATACTTCCAAGGTCTTTCTTTTTCATCATTTTCTTTTTCTAACATCGAACCCTTATTCGATTCGTTTTCAGCACCAAATCTTTCTTCTTCTGATAACTCAAGTGACATTATAAGATCAAAATTTCTTCTTTGGGGTTTAAATATGAATTCAGTGGAATGAAGACGAAAATGTATTACAAAGAATTTAAGAAAAATTTTTTTTTTTGGATATTTAACTGTGAATCTGATCTGATGATTTAACAAATTAAGTTATCAGATCCGTTCAATATCGGCATATATTTTTTCCGATAAAATCGAATCCAAATTGGCTTAGTGATCATCAATTACTTTATTATCATATGCATCTGGAGTAACGTTTCGTTAAGTTCAGACGGTTTCGAACTGGAAAATAAAAAAAATGAAATTGTTTACATTCAGAAATTTAAACATATATTGTCAAATTATTTTGAAATAATACTTCTGAACAAAAAATTCATTTTCGACCAAAATAACGATAAGTTGTATGTATAATTTTTATGCTTCACGTGATATTCCATTTTCATAAAAATTTAATTTTCCCGGCCTAACAGTTATGAAAGAAATAAATATTATTTTAAAATGTTTATATTTCAAATCGTTATATTATAGTTAATTTAAATTAACATTGAATAGAGCATCATCTTTTAATGAATTCTAGATTAATTTTCTTAAGTTTAGATTCTTCTCTAAATAATAAAAGAAGGGCCGACTGTTGTAGAATCGGTTGTATGACTTAAGAAAATCATTGCATCTATCGTCACGTCATTAGTAAGTTCTTTCAGATTAAAAGTGGAGTAATTTAAGAATGTGGAATACGTAATCGAGGGAAAAACAAAATGATTTAAAGTAGGTAGAATGTAAGCGGTTTGTGTTATGGAAAATGAAAATGGGCTCAAACGACATCATATGACAACAATAATATTAAATTTAATAATGGCATTACAAAGTCGTTTGAAATGTAGTCAATGACCTTGTAATCTTGCATTATATATTTGTATATTAAAGATTTCATCTCATAATATTGTAATTTTATTTATGTAAATAATAAAATTTGTTACTGTGTAAGTCGAAAAATTTAACATGATTCGTTATATTAACATTTATAAAATTTAATAAAAGCCTTGAGTTTATTACATTTATTGTATCATCATCTTGCCTATTAGTAAAGTTTTATTAGGATTTTTGTATAAATTGTCATGCTTTCGACATGAGTTCGTGTCTTTGTGATACTAACTACACCTCTATTTTAAATTGTTATTAAATCTTTACATTAGGCGATCCTGAGTAATGAACTTAGTTTTGTTGTTAATTAGATTCGGTTAAATTCTAGTATGCATTTTTGTATATATGTCGATGTACTAAGATTTATCATATATTTTAACCTTCCCTTTTCCCAGTGATAAATGATATATTAAGAACTGCGGCGGATGAATTTCTAGCACATAAATAGAATTCGTCATTTGTGTCAGAACGAATTAGTTTATCGACTGACACATGGTTCTACATTAATGCCTGCAGAAGTTTTTCGGCTGTCTAAGCTACCTACCTACATTAACTCATTTGTCTCAATCATCGAAAGACATAAATATACGAGATATCAGTAGTATTGGAAATAAATCAAATTAATATTAACTTTAGTAAAAAGCCTCGACGAATATTAATAAATTTCTGAGGAATCTTGAACTGAAATTTCATTAAATATATCATACTTTTTAAAGTTGCGTAATGTCTCTTTGGTGGTCCTATTAATTTGGGTTCGAAACTTCAGTGTGAATCTGCAAATAAGGTGTCTCGCACAGCTCATTGTACAATATAGGCGTATAGCATGCAAACTCAATCTCATCACAACCATAAGATATTAAGACAAATTTTTTAGGCATATTTATTTGTAATTTAACTAGAGTTATCACCTTTTCCTTTTATTGATAAAAAACAAATTGCAAAAGCAGTTGCTGATTAAAACATATATAAAATGTGCAATTATACGAATTACTTGACATTTTAAGAATCAATTACTGTACTATGCTATCTAATAAGTATAATGGTCAAGCAAGCTTTTCAATTTACGTTTCTCTTCATCAAATAACCACCATCTTTTCTTAGTGTCATAATTATGATCATTGAGCAATATATTTTCCTTACGAATATCATTGTGAAGTACACCTCCATTGTGAATTGCCTTTAGTGCAAGAATTACCCTTAACCTTTTGCCATTCTATATGCTTATGATTACTTAAAGGAGTACCAACAAGAGTTATACCAATAACATAACACATTCCGTTTCAAAGTAGCTGTAACACTCTAAATTTGGACTGTATTTCCCTGAAGGTCATTAAGAATTTGATAAATCTCAACTTCATTTTGCATTGTCATTGCTTTCAAGATACATGATCAGGATTGGTACACTTGAGGGCAGTGATGGCAAGTGATCCAAATGATCTCAATTGTCTCAAATGACTGGACTGGTCATGTGTTATTTGGGTCATTTCAACATTAAATGACAAATTACAGGTCATTTAAAATTATATCATGTGATCTCAATAAATCAGGCCATTTTCATAAATATTTCACGTGGATAAATTTGTAATTCTGGCCAGCATATTAAATTTGGCTTGTATTACATTTAAATGACCAAATGACAAATAACCTCAAATGATCAGGTCATTCAAAGGTCATTCAGAAGTCATTTCAAAATCGTCAAATGATCTGGTTATTTGCTATTACTGTCTAAAGGTAATAACATTATTATGAAATTTACATAGTAGTGACTTTCCACTCATTTGAAGTCCGTAAAGTAAAGATTCTGATTCTTTGTATTTTTGATATGTCAGAAAATAACTATTCTTTTGAAGCTGATTTCATCATATTTCTTATTACACATTTAGAGTCTGACTATTCATTATTTTCATTAACTGGTATTGTAATTATATTAGAGTGAAAGGAATTGGGATTTTTGCATAATTCTTTAATGACTTATGCATACGCCTTAAAAACAGATGAAGAATCAGAATTCAATAAAAGAATTTCTGATATCCAAAGATTCTCTCCATTTTCTTTATCATCACCCAGTCAACTCAAAACCAGTAATTATCATGAGTTAAAAGTACATCATAAAAATATAAATAGGGATGGGTACAGTTCTTTCAGTTTCATTTTGACTCTTCTTAAGTAAATTAAACTTTGAACATCAAGTTAAATTTATATTAATAGAGCATTATGCAATGATTAATTTAAAAAAAAATTTTTGATGGGATTGGTTATCAAACAAATCATCCTATTATTACCTTTAATTTGATGATAATTCAATTTTCAGCTGATTTATAATGCTTTTTTGTAATCCTGCAAATATAAAATTAGCTGTTCAGTAGAGATATCTGTTTTATATGAACTCATATTTACAATTTCTTTATTATTAAAAAATTGTTCAAATTAGTCTAACATTTTTACTGTAAATCTTTTTTGATAAATAATAGGTTTTTCTAATACTGAAACTTTATATCTATTGATACATCTATATTTATGTGATTCTAAAATTAGATATCTTTCAACCTATATTCACGAAATATATTAGATTTATTGGATTGATATTGATAAGTATAATAATGAAATTCATATTTACACCTAAATTTGTTTGCAATTCATCATAAGTAAAATTCTCAGCAATTATAGATAATACTCTACATTTACCATCATATTTTTTTTATTATTTGATAAAGCTTGATCAAAATATGACTAAAAAGTAAATATTGCATTAGGCATATAGATTAGAATGGAGGTAAGCAATCCTATTTTAAATAAGTTTGCTAATGTTTCTTTATCAGTAATCAAATTAGGTAACTTAGTTCACAATTTAATTTGATATATATATATACTTATCAAATTATAAAAAAAATAATGTAATTTTTAATTTTTTTTATTTCATAATAATTATAACTAAAATTATAATATTTTTTATTATAATAAATAAACTAACTGAAAAAAAATTTATATATTTTTAATTTCTTCATCTATTATAGTAATTACATATTTTTTTCACATTTGATTTATTATTATTGTAACCTATCTACTATTTTATTAAAATTTTAAAATAAATATTTACCTTTGATTCATTAAGTGATTACAGGATTACATTAGTGCATTCAGATACACGTAGCATCACTTTTCACGCTCTAAATTTACATTTACTAAAATTATAATTTTGTAAATATATTTTTTGCAAATTAGACTTTAAATCATTTATTGTAATATCTGATTCAGCCCAACTAATAAAAAATTTATGCCAGTCAATATTTGTCAATGTTCTTCTTTTCAAATGATAATCAAAAATTGGTTTCATAATCAATTGGTCTTGCTAATTTATAAGTTTACAAGTAAGAACTCAATATTTTGTATGAGTTATTAAGTTATTAAATTGTCTAAACCAAAAAGTTGAATTTCATTATATTTTTGAATTTGCCTTGTCTTTTGCCAAACATCATTTGGATTAACGTTAACAAACCTTTTTTTCAGTTGAGAATCTTGATAAATTTCTACAATACAGTGCTTATTTTTAATTCGTGATACAAAAATTCCTTGTTTTCTCTCAAATGTATGAATAATAAAAGCTTGAAAGCCTGATCTTGCATATTTTCATTTTTCACATGAAGAACAACCAATAGCATATAAAAAGATTTTATATTTTTTAACTAACTATATTACTGGAAAAAATTCAATATCTTTTTTGAGTGTTTTTAAAAATAGTTTAATTATTCCAACCCATGATTGCATGACCTGAATATCATGTAGAATTATTAAATAATGCTGCATATACTATTGAAATAGCTTTTGTTAGACTGGCTTCAATTGCTTCCATTTGACCACTTTTGCAATAATATTCTGGCAGGTTTCCTATTCCTTTTTTTATTGTTAAAAAAAGTCATGTTTATTGAGAAAAATTTTAACTTGTTGATTAAGATGAATGGAAAAGTTTACAATATTTTTTTTCAGCTGAAAAGTCCCACCAAAAGCGAGAATATGACCCATAATGAAGTTCTTGTACAAGTAAACCAGTATTCTCAAGAAATACAGATAATTGACAAGAATTTTTAGCTATTTACAAAAATTAAAGGTAAACTATGATATTTATTGAATCAATTAGAAAAAAATAAGAAAGAAGGGGTATAGTTTGATTTTTTCTTTGATTTCAAAATAGAAAAAAATAGAAATTTTGCAATACAAGTTAAACTTATTCATTTACTTTCATTAGCAAAATAAAAAACCATTTGGTTTTAGTGGTTGGGTGAAAACAGTGAGAGATGTAAACGCGCTTTTTATTTTATTATAATTCTTATTCCCAAATTTATTATATGGGTTGATTGCTAGGAAAATCAGGTTCCGGGAATTTTTTAGCAAAATTGAGATTTTTATTGCATTTTAGTTTTTGATGTTATTAGATTAAAATGTATTAAGCTCTTTATTTTAGTCAAAAATTTCTCGGAACCTGATTTTCCTAGAAACACTCCCATATGTTTATCATGTGATTAATGATGATCTCTGGCGAATCACGTAATATTTTGATTTTAAGTTATCGCATCCCCTATGTGATATTTAAGAAATTTGCAGAAAGCAGAATTTAATATTTTTTTATTATTATTATAGTAGAAAATATTCCAAGACATTTAATTATAATTTGCTTTTCCAAAAAAGAAAATAACTTAATTTTAAAAAATGACCAGTAAAACAACTTTGTATACAAAATATAATTTCATTCAAATTCCTTAAATAAAAACAAATATAAAAAAATTATAAATTTTTTTACTTCTATGTATTTTTGGTAAAAGATTCTTTGTAAAATATTATTAACTTTCAATATTTATAACGTAATTCAATAAAATTTATATCAGTAAATTATTTATTATGTGACTTCTTCGCAATAATTTAAATAACAAATATGACAACTGTATTAAAAGGAATAAATATAATATTTTATAGAAACTTTATTTATATATTTACATTACAAACATTTTTTAAAAAATCATGGTAAACTTTATTTATTTTTATTAATAATTTTATTTAAATTATATGAGTACACTTATAAAACAACTCATATGACAAGGCTAAAAAGATCAGAAAGAAATATAATAAATAAAATAATCAACTTACAAGTATCAGTTTCGTTCTAAGGATGGAGGTATCCAATACTACTCGCTCAGTTGACTTTCGATACACTACAAGCGCTACAAGGATAGGAGATATCCAACAGGACTCGGGTTGCATAAGCACCTACTCATGAAATAGTTTTATAAATATAAAGGGAGATGCATAGTAATTCTTATAACAGAAATCGCAGACCCTTACATTCACGAGCAGTTGTACCGGTCCTTTTTAATTGTAAAAAATTATAGTCGGTCCCCCATCCTTAATAAGATAATTAATAAAAAAATGTTATGAAAATTAAATGATTGTATACTCATATTTGCCGCTTTCACTTCTTTGTTGTTGACTAATAAAATTAAGAATATTAACATTAATAAAGTATAGCGCATTTTTTTTTGAATTTTTTTTAGTTTTGTCAATATGAGTTGTTTTTATCGGGAGAAAAGAAAGGAAAAGTTAGAAATCGAAACACACAATAAAAGTTATTTTCAGATATCTTCATCAATTTAAAAAAAAAATTCTAGAAAAAGAAGTGGAAAAGGAAATTAATTATGGAATCTAAGTAAAAATAGTCATGTAGAAGGTAATAGATGCGATAGATCAAAATATCGGCGACGCTTAAGAGTAAATATCAAGGAAATAATATTTTTTTTAATGGTGAATATTCGTTAATATTTCACGAAATAACGAGAGGAAACTATTGTTGATAATGATAGGGCACTACAATAAAGAAAAAGAATAAAGAGCTTACTAGCAGATTAAGTTTTGAGATCCAGATATCAGCTACGGCAAGAGTAAAGATTTTAGAAGATAGTCTCTCATTGAAAGAAAGATAAAAGCTGTGACAGTTTATTCAAGGTGGGCGCAGTTCATTAAGAGAAATTTTTTTTTTGTGAAAGGGCTACGGGTTATAATTATGTATAAGGTACTATGAGAAAGATGTGCTTAAAAACTTGTCTGCTTTTTTGTTTCTTTATAAAGGAAAAAAAAAGGATAACCGCATGAAAAATGAAAAAAAAAACTGAAAAATGTTTTTTTATTTATACAAAGGCATGCTTTTTTATTTCCAAATATGTTAATTGAATTCTAAATTTAATGTATTGGCTTTTGGCTAATAAATTTGCCTACCAACTTTACTGGTGAATTAATTGATGAGTATAATAACAAAAAGAAAATTATTCTCGCGTCAATTTTAAATTTAAATATGGGTCGAGATTTATGAAATGCTGTAATTTTATACTATTTAAAATTTCAAATTTATTTTATTCATTCTATATATTTAAAAGTATTAATTTTTCAAATACAAAAAGTTTGCGTTTCAACAAAATTGGTAAATTAAATAATGGCTATCCCTGTATTTTATTTTTTTGATTTGTATCTATGAAACTGACTGAATCAATCATAATACCCAGTATCTTTACAATATTATTGGACATAACGTCTTTCACACTTTCCTCTAAATGATGATTTGGATCCTGTTTTCCAATATATCGAGTTTTCAATTATTCTAGTGTTATGGTTGATTCCTCTTGTACTGATTTATTATACTGTAAGTTTCCGCCAATGTAAGTATTGTTTGAAATTTTTTCATAAGCAAATCGAAAAAAAATATCTTTTTGTAAATCTAAATCTTTACATTGACACTCTTTCCATTGATCTTAGTGTGTTCCATAAAGTTTGGTAGCGTCAATCCATGGATCCAAATTTTTTTGTGCAAATTGAGCAATATTTTCATTCTTTCGATAATTAATAGCAATCGAATAATAATGGATCAAAGCCTAAGTAAGAATAAATCAAAGAGTAAACAAATATAAACTTTAAAATCAAAACAGATTTAAATTAATGATCATACTTGAATACTTGGTTTATTAAGATATCCAATATTGGAAGTGGTTTGACGTAACATTTAACCTAGCATAAGCATTTGAGGATTGATCAGGCGAAAAGCATCAGTAACTACTTTGCCTTTGACAGACTATATCAGATCAACAACAATAACAGCCACAGCCCTTTGATTTAATGCCTCAAAAACTTTGTTGTGTATTTATATCTACATTAGACAGCTAACATCCAAATCCAGAGTGAGAGTGATACCAGCCAACCACCATTTCGAATCTATAAAATTCATTAATCGAAATCAGATATGAACCTCAATAATCTCATGTACAAAAGAACTTCAATTCATACTGTCCAGTTTGCTTCAACATATTCAAAAATTTTGAAATCGACCACTTCTACGGAAACGCCTGTATATCAATTACACGAATTCCCAAGCATCAAATCCATAACTTTCATAAGTACTTCGGCACGTCCTATCAATAATTTATATATAAATTGATGTTGAATAATACTTGAAAAAATTAAATAAAAACTTATTGTGTTTTAACATCTATCAAATAACAAATACAAAAAAAATGAAAATTATTAGCGTAATGAATAATATTTTCTAATCCAGTAATAACTACGCAAAAACCAGAAATTTTTATGACAACTGATTTGATTTCCTACCTTAAGTAAAGCTAAAGAAGAAATATAAACCACTTCGCGTTATTCACAGTTGGTGTCCAGTCTGAAAAGTTATAGTAGATTTTTTCTTTTTCTATTGATTGCCGCCTAGATCTCTGCATTTTTGCATCTTCTTGAATAGAAATTTAAGATTCTGTTCTTGTATCAGACTCTTTGAAATTATAATAAAAATATAATTAAATAAATTAAAATTAAATATGAATAATCAATAAAAATAACAAAAATAACTTATTTTCTAGTAATAATGCATCTTTTTAAATAAATCTAGTTGAGTTTAAATATAGTAAAGGTATAATTATATACTAATAATCAATAAAAATCACTTACCTCCCTAATAATAATATTTATTTAAATAAAAAGTTAGTTAAGTATAAAGTAAAGTGTAATTAAATACTAATAATTATAAAAATTAACTTACTCTCTAATAAAAATTAAGTTGAATAAAAGTATAAATTTATCCTCATAAAGGCATTAAATTTTATCATTACCAAATCATTGCATAAAAAAACTAATTATCTAATTAAAATAGGAAAATAAGTATATAAATATAATAAATATTGATTATAACCAAAAAAGGTTGCATGAAAAATGCAGAGGTATATCAGGAACTTGTAATCAAATAACAAAATTATAGAAAAGTACCTGCTTAAATAACAATGGAAGAAACTCATTAAATATTGTAATTTCATTTTGATAATAACCAATATTGTGCTTCATACTTCAAAATTCATTTATTATCAATCAGGCAAATCTCATCGCTATTAAATTTTGACAAAATTAATTCTAAAGAAATGATTAATAACTTGATGTAGATAATTTTGCGCATCATAATCAGGGCAAAATTCATGTGATTAACGTAAGAAAAACTACATTTATTTATAAAATTAAAATCAAATTATTTTTCAGAACTGTACTTAACCTTGAAATATGTGAATATGTGAAATTAGTTTTAAAATAGTCACAAAATTTTGTAATTATTTATTTTTGTTCCAAATACTATTTCTTCTTTTATCATCATAATTATTATCACCAAATATTAAATATTTTTTTTTATAAAAAATATTTTAATATCAACAGATAATAACAATTCATATAAATATTATCATTATTACGTTGTTATGATGGTTTCGTGGCTTCAAATAAAATCTCAAAAGGGGTAAATAAAACTAAGACAATTACTCAAGGAATCACAGGTAAGGATTCACAATAAAGTCAAAGAGTTATTCTCAATATAAATCACGTGAGGTAAACACAAAATAAACTCAAAGTTAACTCAA